TACTGCCATGAGCGTGAGGTGGAATCAAGGCTGGGAGCCTGTATATTTTATGAACTCACAATAACTGGGGAATTACTAGGACCAGAGCCTTTCTCAGCTACTGAGGCCCAGTGAGTGCCAACTCCCAAGGAGGTTGGGGAAGACTATTTTAGTTCAAAACCATAATAGTTGCTGGTGGTTTTTGGACTGATTATTTCAGGATCTGAGATCAATTTATTTCTCAAATTTCAACCATATTCCCATTTTTGAATTGTTCAGATATAGACACATTATTACAAATTTGTTCACTATTCATATTTTTGATTACTATTTCATGCAAACAAGTGTCAGCTTATGGATTGCTCACATAATATGTTGGCCATGTGCCTTTCTTAGTCACTATTCCTGTCTGCTTATTTTAATTATATGGTTTTGATTCTGTTCCCTGACTGGATGACTATAATTAAAAGAAAAATCATAATGAAGATTTATCCTGAACACGTCCCTGATGTTTCATCCTTTCAGGAACACGCTGACAGCAGTTTGTAAAGTTAGGAGGAGCAAGGTTGAGGCTATAAAGCAGCCAGCAGTAACCATATAGAGAACATGTGATGTTAACATGCGCTGTCCAACCACTAAGCGCACTGCCAGGGCTCAATATCAAACGGGTATTAAGAAATGTTCTAATGTTGGGTTTAGCAATTTCCATTTTTTTCTATCAGCCTTCATCGAAATTCATTAGTTATAACAAAAGCCACTGAGACTCATAACTTCGTTAAAGACAGATTGATATTTAAAACATTTTTCAAAAAATGCTGTTTGTTAAAACATGAAATAAAAAAGGATTCTCGTTAACCTTTTTCTTTCAAAATGAAACCACACTTGTATGCTCTGTTTGATTTCACACCCTAAAACCAGAACACTTGTTCTCTCTCATTACATGCATTTCTGATCTATATCAATATTAAAGTCAGATACTTAAAAATAAAATGAAGGGGTGAGGGTGTACTCAGGTAGTTGAGGCACTAGAGTACGGGGTCCAGTTTTGGTTTTCTGCTTCGCCACTGACCTCCCGTGTGACCTTGGGCAGGTCACTTTGCCTTTCTGTGCCTCAGTTCCCCATCTGTAAGATGGGAATAATAGAATCATAGAACAGAATCACAGGACTGGAACAGACCTCGAGAGATCTTCTAATCCAGTCCCCGGCAGGACTAAATATTATCATCCCTGGCAGGTGTTTGTTCAATAGCACTTCCCTACCTCATAAGTTTGTTATAAAGATAAATATATTAAAGATTGTCATGTGCTCAGATACTAAGGTACTTAAACGGCCCCCCATCACCAAAGACAGACAGAAAATTAGTCCAACAGGATTTACAAGACCAAACCTAAATACCCAGGGTGAGTTAAAAATGGAAAGAGATTTAATTTCTCTTTCAGCTCTTACCGTATGGGACTCTAACTCAGCAATTTTCTCTGGCGATTCCAAGCCCAAATAATATATTCTTATCACATGGTCAGTGCTACCTGTTGCAATGAACATGCCACCTGAGAAAGACAGTATTTTCTGTGAGAAGAAAAGCCACTAAAGGAACTAAAAACTTTGTGAGCATGGTGTTACTGCTAGAGGAGCATAATTCACAGTTTTAAATTGAGGATTTTCAGTGGAATTAAACTTGTTCATAAACATTTAATCTTGGTTTAAATGTTTCCCTAATCTGCACCTTCTGAGACCATTTACACTTCAACGTATCTCCTTACTGCTAAAGAAGGGTTGAAATTACTGGACCTGTTACTGAACAAACAAGGATAACATTTCAAAATACAGCATTCAGTTACAGCAAGTCTACCGCAGTTCTATCAGCCAGACCAATACACAGAAATAAAAAGCAAAGAATGGTTTGCAAATCTCTGGGCCCAAATTCAGTAAAACACTTAGGACTTAAGCAAATTCTTATTGAAGTGTCTTCACATGCTTGCTGAATCAGGGCCTGACAGCATAAACTATTTTCCTGTAATGATTGTTCTCCGATGACAGTGTCACACAGAGTCATTATTCAGTACGGGATGCCTGACTTGTGATAGTGAAAGTGCTCTAGTGATTTCTGAAATCCTAACTTTCATGGGGGGAAATGGCAAGATTAGTGTGGACCTGAAACAGGCTAGCAATTTCAGATAAAGGTAATTACAGGTAAATGATTTTGTTTCACTCTGTAGATAAGTACTACAATAAGATATCTTCTCTCTTGCAGGCTACAAGGCTGGATCAAAACAGGGAAACAGACTATATATCTTGAAAGACACAGCGTGACACGAAAATATACATTACCACAAAAAATGGCCCTGTGACGGACGTGTTATTGAACCAAGTCCCTGACACTTTGGGATTAGTTTTGTTACTTATAATCTACAATATCATCTATGTTACATGACAAACTATTACACACACAAAATGTCAAAAGAACATTATTCAGGATGCAAAGTCAAGGACCCAAAAGTTAGGAAATGCCCAAATTAAGGAGGCCTATACAACTTTAATTCAGCACCTTGAGCATCTGCATGATGACACAGTCTAAGTAATTAAATCATATACTTCCCCCCCCCCCCCAGATTTGGCCCAATTTGGGCAGATTTTCACAGGGATAGCAAAAGGAACAGCTCTGACACAGAGGCCACACCCTGCTAAATTTCAAGTCTGCGCTCCAAAGTATAGAGGGCCATGAAAGAGCTTTTCAACAAAAAAGTCACCAGAATTTTTTTTACACGGGCAAAATACTGTATTTTCCCCCAGTCTCATTCTCAGAAACAGATTAACTATGTTGGCTGAAATTTAAAAACACCTAAGGACAGAAAATTTAAAGTTTAGCAAAGTTATAAGCAACAGAAAAATAAAATAGGATTTTATAATGGGAAGTGTCAGACTACCATAATAGTAGGCAGTGCTCCCAGCTCTGCCTATGATATCTATTATAGGGAACACACAATCTTTTCAATATCAAATTGTTTTCTATCCAATTTTAAGTTCATAGAATGCTCTTTAAAAATATAAAGATTTTAAAAAGGGAAAGGAAAGTAAAAAAAATATTTTCTTTTGAACCACAAAATGTTGGACAAAGCCATGAACACAACAGTGGCAGGAAATACAGGCTGAGAACAACATGACTTCCCAGTTTGGAAACAGATCTTATATAAAATAAAAATTATAAAACCCTGGACCCTAATCCAGGAATGAGTTAGAGTTTGACTCAGAGTTTTATAACAGTACCAATGTCACCGACGGGATCTAAACAGTAATTCCTTTACATTATACTGCAATAAAGAGTTTAATATTAAGATAAATTTAAAAGGATATGGAGCTTCTTTTCTACCAGCCACCATGCTGAAGCAAAATTCCCTCTGAAGTCAATAGGAGGGATTTCTAAATATGGACTTTGTGATTTGACCATATCAAAAATTAATGCTTCCCAATTATAGATTTCCTCACTTTCCACATGAGGGCAAAATTAATATAATCATCTTTCCTACTGAAGAATTAGCCAATTTAAATGTACAAATTGCCACTGAATATTTAATTTAAATCACTTTGTTTCCCCCACAAAATCTCAAATCATTAGCAAACTTTCTTCTATAGAATATCAATATATTCCCAGATATATTGTCTTCATTATTTTTCAGTAGCTACAGAGGACCAGAGATTGTTTTAAAGCTATATATATACACACACACACACACACACATATATACATATACATATACACATACACAAAAAGTAAAATTGAACTGCTATTTCTTGACTTCTATACATACCGGAGCTGAAAGATGAACAAGATATCTGAACCCCAGGCCTGGATCTCTCAGCAAATTTCACAGGGCGATCCCTTAATGCAAGAAAATAACATGCCAATTTTAATTTTATGACCTTATCTTCATGTCCCCCAAGACTAGCAATATCAGAGTAACTCCGTGGTTAAAATTAAGGTCAGTGTTTCCATTTTAAGTTCTTTTATTACAGAATTTGTAACTTGAAGTTTGCCATCAGCTAGATACCCTTAAAATCAGTTTAATAAAAAAGTAACTCATGCTCTCTACTTTTGAGAGTTAAAAAGATCTTTTAACTTTTTAAAATTTCTTTGTTTATATTCAACAAGCCAAACACTTAAAATAGAAACTGACAAGCCACCAGCCTGTAGCATGTCATCAAACCCACACTTTTTAGGGATGAAATTCTGTCTAAAGAGGTGTACATCTCCAATTAAAGTTAATGGAATTTGCATTCCTGCACATTTTAGAGAAGAATTTGGGCCTAAACATACAGGCCTTGGGCCTAAAAGTGAGGAAAACATCCCACAACTATTGCTTGCAAAGCACAGAGCAAAGAACTCAGGGACCAATCCTTTACAGCCCTGTGGAAGTCACAGCACACGAGGAGAAAGCACACCCGCTAAGATAGCTGCAAAGGCTTATATGGCTACCCACCCACGCCGCTTCTCAGACTCCACACTGTCCCATAGACCAGTATGGCAATCAGGCACTGGGGAATGGCATCAAGGACCCACTTGCAGATTGAGTTCTTCATTGAAAGCATCATGCCAACCAGGCAAAGGAATAAACGGCAAGGGAAACTGCTCTTTTTTCATTGATCTACCCCAAAAAGAACGCACACCTTTTCTCTACACACATCTCACGGCGCCCGCTC